AGGTCCCTCTGCAGAGCCTTCCTACCCTAAGTAAATAATTGTCAATGAATAGTCAACGAATGGTCAATAAATGGTCAATAAAAAGCCCAAATCAGAGCTGCCAATGATTTCCTGAGCGCAGGAAACCACCACTAACACCATCGTACCTTGGGCAGGTTGTAGACATGGCGCTGGTAGATCAGCTCGTAGTGGGGTGGATTGATGCTGCTTTGGTAGATGCAAAACACGTTTTCCTTTGAAGTGTCTGCAAATGAAACAAAATCAAAAATACCACAGGGATTTTAATGGTGCTGATGTGAGCCCAGAGGCAAAAACTCAGCTAAATGTGATGTTGGTACCTGGTTTGTCTGGAGTCTGAATGAAGTGTTGGGAAGTGAAGGTTTTGCCGTCGGGATATTTGGGGTGAGGCGGCAGCCTGGAGTCGAGGTAAGTGCAGAAGACGTGCACGATGATCTGGGCAAAGAAAACCAAATCTCACTTAAAAATACAGACAATACAGAATTTGATAGGCTGGGGTTGCAATATTGGCTTAACCTCTCTAAATTTAGGAGCTCGAGGCAGCTTAATGCTTAAATAGATTTCAACGGCAGACGTACGCCACTGGGGTGAGGGCAAAAATAATAGAAAGCATAGAAATGAAATAAATTATATAAAATAAAGCGATGCCGCGTGTCAGGAGCTCAGTTCCCACACAAACAACTTCATCCTGGCATCTTGCAGAATTTGGTAAATTCACGGATCCTACTTGGTGTATTTAAGGCCCCAAACTCCAAGCCCGCTGGTTTAGTGATGGGTTCTGGAGTGGCTGCGGATGAAATCAATTTTCAGCTTTGCCAACACAACCTCTAGCGAGCAAATTTCTCCTTTCTCCTCATAAAAGGCAAAATAAAAACCTGAAGTTGGCCATAACACCAACATTTTGAAATAAAGTCCTAGAACAAGGATCCAGAAAGTCACACCACAGCCTGCTATTTGTTTTTTAACCCTTCCCAGAGAGTTCTCAGCATTTTTATGATGGTCAACATCACCAAATTATCCATAATTTGCTCCTTTCTGAGTTTATTTTATGTAGCACGATCTGTTTTGTAGACAAAAAGAGTTTCTCTGGGTTAAATACCAAAAATCTCAAGAAGTTTGGGAGATGCACCTTGGAAATCACAGCTTTGGCTCATCTGCAGTGTGAGGTAAATAGTATTTAAATGGTAGCTGTCTTGAGTAAGTTAATGTGAAAACTTCATGGCAACTGTTTATATTTATCTTTTATATTGGATTTATTTTCCCAGAGTTCTTAGAAGTTGAATTCCAGGCTGTGCTACGCTGTCTCATGATCTCAAAACAGCTGGGAGCTGCTCAGCCTCCCGTCTGTCCAGACACCGAGAGCTGCTCTGTCACCAGTCACCACCAAATATTTCATTATCTTCACAACCAGAAAACCTAATCCCGTTTCCAGACTGATTTTGTACAATTTCAGCAATTGAATCTCATTAAGTCTTTGTCAGCTCTGGCATTGGGATCTCCTGGGTTTTATTCTCCCAAGTAACTGAAAATCTATTTAAAGTGGAGGAAAAAACCATAAATCACCCTAACTCTACTTTCAGATACAGAAATCAGCTGAAGGCTCCACACTGCAAAGCCTGTTTTCTACTCCCAGAATTGTTCCGTGGTTTTTCTTTTAATAACTTCAGTTGAAATTTCAAGTTATTGCATACATGGAGCTGCTGCTGCTCCTCCTGACCTTTCAGATTAATGGGCTTAAGAGTCTTCTCTCAAGCAGGATATGCAACATCTTCTGACTTGTCACAAAATATTACCGAATTAAACAGCAGCCCTGCCACTCCAGCTGCATTTTTATCCTGTTTGTTACAGCAAAGGTAAACGAGACCACGGTGAAAGGTTTTTTTCTTCAGAAACTGTTGAGTGAAGGCAGAGATGTGGCTTTTTAAAAAATACAGCAAGAGAACTGCCCCGATGAGATCCTCACCTGCTCAGCCTAAGAGCACAAGATAGAATTTTTGTGCTCTACGCTACATCCAATCCCATTTGCATTATTTCCCACGTAATCTCACCAACAGGATTATCTGTGTAAGTGATGCAAAGGATTTTACCACGTTCCTCAAAAGATTTACTGACTGCTGCCATGAAAATCTACGCCAAAAGGCAACCCAGTTAAAGCTCTCCTATCAAGAAAGTCTTCAAAAGCTTACAGAGGAGTCAGTGGGCAAGTCCGTGTCCCACTTGCGGCCTTTGAAATCCCCTCCTCGGTTCCACCGGAATGAACTCATGCATCCTCCCTGAGAAAGCTCTGAAAGCAACAAGATTTAGTCTGATATTGGGGGTTGAATTATATGAAAGCAGTGTTTTATGCTCCTTTCAGGGGCTTCATACACATCTCTGGTGTATAAGATAAAGAGAAGTTCAGCTAATGAAGTGCTTGTCAAGATATTAATATGGGGAGGTAAATGTACAGGGTGGTTTTTATTTGTAGCTAACAAAGGGAGTAAATCCAGCACTTTGCACCCCAAGCACGCAGGAGGGAAAGGAGAAATAAAGCTTTTGAAAAAGCCATTCCCAAAGTTACATCCAAGTCCTGCATCATTACAATGCTATAAAAAGCTGCAAAGAAACATCTCTCCGGCTGAAAAGCAGCTCTCATCGCTGCCGTGACTCTTCAAACATCTCCACTAGAGGAACACCTGATGCCACCAACGCTTGACTGTGGTAACAGAAGTGTTTTAAAATCGTTCTGGTGACCCCACGCACCTTTGATCCTTTCGACCAAATACTCCTGGTTCGGTGTCAGATCCAAATACTGCACAATCGTGTTCAGGGTTGGAATGAGGGGAGCTTTAACGAGTGCTGCCTGCTTCAGGCTGCTGATGCTGGCTTCTGCAACACAGAACAGGTCAGCTACGACCACCCCAGAACGCCAAACAGGCTCCTGACCAGGTGTCGCTGCAATGAGCTCTCCTTTTTAGCACCATTTAAAGTCTTAGAAACATTTAAAGGAATCACAGAATGGTTTGGGTTGGAAGAGACCTCAAAGCTCATCCAGCCCTACCCCTACCATGGGACACCTCCACCAGCCCAGGCTGCTCCAAGCCCCGGCCAACCTGGCCTTGGGCACTGCCAGGGAGGGGGCACCCACAGCTTCTCTGGGCAACCTGGGCCAGGGCCTCACCACCTCACAGGGAAGAATTTCTTTCTAATATCCAGTCTAAATCTCCCCTCTTCCAGTTTAAAACCACTCCCATTTGTCCTATCGCTTCCTGCCCTTATAAAAAGCCCCTCTCCAGCCTTTCCGTAGGACCCCATCAGGTATTGGAAGGTCACTCTATAAGGTCCCCCCGGAGCCTTCTCTTCTCCCGGCTGAACAACCCCAACTCTCTCAGCCTGATCCCACAGCAGAGCTGCTTCAGTCCCTGATCATCTTTGTGTCCTCCTCTGGACTTGCTCCAACAGCTCCATGGCCTTCTGAAGTTGAGGGCCCAGAACTGGATGCAGTACTCCAGGTACTCACCAGAGCAGAGGGGCAGAATCACCTCCCTCCTGCTGCTGGCCACACTTCTTGTGATGTAGCCCAGGACACAGTTGGTTTCTGGGCTGCAAGCACACATTGCCAGCTCATGTTGAGCTTTTCATCCTCTGACACCCCCAAGTCCTTCTCCTCAGCACTGCTCTCAAGCCATTCTCTGCCCAGCCTGTATTTGTGACTGCCCCAACCCAGGTGCAGGACCCTGCACTTGGCCTTGTTGAACCTCATGTGCTTAGCACGGGCCCATGTCTCCAGCCTGTCCAGGTCTCTCTGGATGGATTCCTTCCCTCCAGTGTGTCAACCACACCACACAGCTGGGTGTCATTGGCAAACATGCAAACTCAAAACTAGTTCACCACGTTAAATGTGGGCATTTACCATTTGACACTACCCCAAACACTCATTCAATTGCACTGAAGTAGAAGACATCTGCTTTACTTCACAGAAGAGAAAAGCTACAAGGAAACAACGTCCACTTCGAAGAGCAGAGGAAAGGAACAAGGTGGGGATGAGATCAGCATTGATCAGTTTTTCTGCAGGCATCAAAACGGATTCAGCTCTTGAGGAGACGCTAAACAGCCCGCAAAAGGTGGGTTTAATTTAAATGCAGCGCATCAAATCCACGTTGTGGTTAAGCGGATATAGATCTGAAGTACCAAGAGAAGCAGTTCCTTCAGAATTGTATCGTGACATGAAAACCAGAACTCCAGTTCACCAGAATTTAAAAAAATAGTTACCTCAGACAGCAGCTGATTTTACAGAAGAATTTGTCAAAGCACACAGGACCAGAGATACTGAAAGGTTAGTTTGCAGAAGAGGAGACTGAGGGGAGACCTCATTCATGTTTATAAATATAGAAAGGGTGAGTGTCACGAGGATGGAGCCAGGCTCTTCTCAGTGACAAACAATGATAAGACAAGGGGTAACGGACACAAACTGGAACACAGGAGGTTCCACTTCAATTGGAGAAGAAACTTCTTCTCAGTGAGGGTGACAGAGCACTGGACCAGGCTGCCCAGAGAGGTTGTGGAGTCTCCTTCTCTGCAGACATTCAAAACCCGCCTGGACGCCTTCCTGTGTAACCTCATCTGGGTGTTTCTGCTCCGGCAGGGGGATTGGACTGGATGAGCTTTGGAGGTCCCTTCCAATCCCTAACGGTCTGTGATTCTGTGTGATTCTGTGATTCTGTTATAGGGAGACACTGAGCGTTTATAGCACATCTATCCTTGAAATGTTTTCTGACAGTTTAATACACAACAATCAATGATGATTTGAGCCTGTAATTCCTCA